GACTCAGCACACTGTGGAATACCCCAAGAACAACTCACGTTTATTGAGTGCTTATTTCGGGCCAGGCATAATGCCAAATACTTCATTTGCATTGTTCCTTTTAATCCTCATTGTCCCTTTTAATCCTTAATAAAATGAAATTTTAAGCAGCTTAGAAAGTTCCTCAAGGTCAAACAGACATTTGGCAAGCAGCAAAGCTATAAAAATTCCAACCTGAGTCTAACTCTGTACTGGAACTGGTATAGAGTACATGACACAGAAGTCAGCACGTGTGGTATAAAAAGGGACTTACTTTCAACTGCTATTGCACAGTATGAGAGTAAATCATGTCTTGAGTTATTGTATGCTTTTGTCTGCTGGGCACATGCACCATGTAGAGAGCTTCACACGATGCCCCACTGACTGTGGGTAGAGCCCGGCTCTGAGCACCATGCTCCTTCCTGTTCTCCCCAGGCACTCACCTCGGCTCCACTCAGAGCCTTCGCCTCTCTGCAAACATGCCCAACTCTATTATCCTGGTTCACTTTCTGTGTTGGAAGAGAGCCCTATCTCTCCATCTATTATAGCTCCGTCTAGGTAGCATCATCTCTCTCTCTCTCTCTCTCTTTTTAAAATCAGGCATTTCTTTTGTTTATTAAAAAAAAAAGTTTTTAATTTGAGAGAGTGAGAAAGAAAAAGAGGCTGAGGCTAGGAGCTGAAAACTCAATTCAGGTATCTAAGTGGATGGCAACTCCCCCAAACACTTGTGCCTCACCTGCTGCCTCGCAGGGTCTACTTTAGCAAGAAGCTGGAGTCAGGAGCGATAGCCCAGATAGAACCCATGCACTCCCACACTGGCTGCAGATGTCTCACTTGCCAGGCTAAATGCCTGCAACCTCTACTTCATGACAAGTAGACATCTTTCCGACTTAAAGAATTCTTTTTGCAAGAACCAACTCACTATTTAGTGACCATATATCTTGTTCACCGTTAACCTTAGTTTTAAGAAAAAACAGGCTCCCCCCTGCTGAATCTCTGTTCCCTCACATGCACTCCGATTTGTCTGAGTTTTCTCCTGAAAATGTGAACCAGGCATAGGTATGACCTTTTCCCACTACTTTTTATCTCTCACTTTAATGAATGCATTAAAAAATTTAGTCATGGGGCCGGCGCTGTGGTACAATGGGTTAAAGCCCTGGCCTGAAGCGCTGGCATCCTGTATGGGCACCGGTTCTAGTCCTGGCTGCTCCTCTTCCGATCCAGCTCTCTGCTATGGTCTGGGATAGCAGTAGAAAATGGCCCAAGTCCTTGGGCCCCTGTACCCACGTGGGAGACCCAGAAGAAGCTCCTGGCTCCTGGTTTTGGATCGGCGCAGCTCTGGCCATTGCAGCCATCTGGGGAGTGAACCAGCGGATGGAAGACCTCTTTCTCTTGTCTCCACCTCTCTCTGTAACTCTTTCAAATAACTAAAATAAATCTTTTAAAAAAATTAAGTCATGAAAGAGCCTAGTCTGAGGCTTTTCTGATGAACTTTACCTTAAAATATATGCAGATATACCTTAAAGTCTATACAAAAAGAATCTCTGTGAGTCAGATTAAAGAGCAGCTCAATGTTAAATCACACACTCACTTCTTGTTTGATGGACAGTTGACATCCAACACCATAATGAAAACTGATAGGCTGTCAGGATTGCAGTCTGTGTGTATGTGTGTGTCTGTGTGTGTACAAAAGTAAGAATCAAGCACAGTGAGAGGAACACAGCAGAGGCCTGTTGTGCGTGGGACAGAGAAAGTGGATGGCCACACAGCCAGGAGTAAGAGGGTACCTTTCACTTTGGAGTTCTCAGATTTGTCCAGCCCAAAGGCTGTCCGTCTGAGAGACACGCGGGGATTTAGGTCAGGCAAACCGAAAGGTCCCTGTTTGGTCTGACCTAGAGTACAAGAAAGATCGAGTGAGAGACACAGTGCAGTCCCCAAACAGCAAGGCCCTTTCTGCTGTCCCTCTTCCTCTGCTGCCAACTTCAGGTGGGGAGCCCTGGTGTCTGGGCATAAGCTTGGACGTGCACTAAAATGTGCTTCACTAGCATGTGGCTGGGTGGGAGGGAGGGACTGTTTCAGGACAGGAACGTGCTGAGGGCTTTGGCATGACCACAGCACCATGATCTGGGCCACTCCCAGTTTGGATGTCCACCTCTGCCACACCACGGCAGATGGGCAGAGCTGTTCCTCCGCCATCCCCCTTCATTCTCCTCACCACACACGTTCTGTCTCAGAACGGATTCCACTTTGTTTCTACAAAAAATCTTTAAGGAGAATAGAGGTAGTGGACACTTTATACAAGGAAGTTTGAAATTGCTGAGCCAGGGTCAATCTCATGCAGCTCTTACTCCTTGAAGGATTAGATGGCAAATTTGGTACTGAGTTTGAACCCCATGAAAGGCAAGGCACCCTGGAGGGGGGCAAAGCAGGGCTGGGGAGAGGAGGTTGTCTCTATGTATGTGCATGTTATCTGTACGTGTGCATGCACACTTGTGTATCTCTGTGTGCACACATGTGTTCATGTTTCTGTGTGCATGTATGTCTATCTGTATGTGCACATGTGTAATGTATATCTGTGTATGTGCACACATGTGTACGTATAGCCATAGGTTAACTGGCACAAGCAACTCCAGAATTCCATAGTTTCTCCAAAAGTGAATGATACAGACCTGGGAGTACAGATGATGACCTGGAAATATTATTTCTTTTGGAGAAATAACATCAGTTATAGATTTCTTTGATAGACCAAATTATGTAAAAATATATTATTTTTCTAAGCACTGACCAGAAAGACCAAGCAATACTCACATCAACTGCTGATTTTAATGTCAAATGTTTATTTCTATGCCATAGTTGCCTCAGCACAATTTGTTAAAGAAAAGAATCCAAAAAATGATTTTTGTCAGGATATTTTCTCTGCAGTTATAAGAAAGAAAATAAACACCTCGGTACCAGGATTATTATTTCTTTCACATCACTCTAGTAAGTTGCATCTCAATATTTTCTGTGGATATTATTTGTTTTTAGGACCGAAAAAATTCCACAGGGAGGAAAAAAAGCTTGGAGTCATTAAATAAATGTGGGAGAGTCTTTGTCAGAGAATATATCTAGAATATCTTTGTTTTGGTACACTATGTCACTAATTGCCATACTCTTATTATGTAATATAACAGGCATATTTTATTACATAAAACAAAGAGCACTAAAAATGAACAATGTCAGAAACATACTGAAATTTGGTGTATCTCAAATCCTCAGGTGATTAGCTATTAGCTGAAGCGCAGGTCTACAAGTTTCCTATCAGTACAAATGCAACTCTCTTCCATGAGGAAATGCACTTAGCAGCCTCGTTCCTTTCGCTCTAGCAGATAGGGCATCCAATACAACTGAAACAACCTGATAACAAATGGATTTTTTTTTTTTTTCAGTGAAAAGGAATGCTCTGGTTTCTTAACTGGTTCTCCCATTTAAGGGAGCCAGAGATGCCATTTGCTCTTTAAATAGACTTCTCTTGTCTGATTCGAGACACAAATCCACCAGGATTCTTACAGCAGAAGTAGGCACCACACCTCAGGTCACAAGGCCCTTCGAAAGAAGCCTGTCCAATAAATCTGTGGTGTGTGGTGGTGGGCCAGCACCGGGAAGACGCCCTGGTGGTCGTGCCCATAAATCGCCTCAGCGGACTCAGTGAAAGGAGGAGAGTTCTGTAAGTTCATGCACATTTTATTGAGTAGTAATATAAAATGCTTTTTCTTTGTCATTGTTACAAGTGCATGCTTTGATTGCCAACATTTCAGAAGTCAAATTACAAAGGCAAGGCTTTAGGCTGTAGTGAATTACTTGGGCACTTATACAATTGTTAAAAAATATGAATGGACTTTTGTTGTGGTTGTTTTCAGAATGAACCAGTTGTAACCCGTAACTGATATACAAAGGGAAAAGAGTGAAAAAAGTACATATTTTGTGGCACATGACAGAACAGAACAAAATAACTAAACCGTATGACATTAACAGTTACCATGCATTTAGAGTTTCACATGTAACTACAAACTTATTTAAATTTCACAAGGTTTGCTAAACATGCTAACTGTCTATATGTGCACTGACAAGCTTATGTTAAAAACTTTTAAGAATACTCTCCCCTTTAGATTTTTTTCAAAGCTTTTTTGATTACAAAATTTCAAAGGCATTAAGCATTTTAGAGAATATAAAGTACGCCAGTATACATACATTTCCAGTATATGTCAGACCACTAAGCGCATTACAGTCCCATACAGGCCGATACAGCCATTTTTTTTCTTAAAAAACATGCATAGGCAGATTTTTTTTTTTTACAGAATATAGATGCTTTATCACTGTACTTAATATGGTGTCTTGTTCACTATACTTAAAAATGCACCACTCATAAATATTTAATTCAGCAAGCCACAACCAAGACTTGATTTATCAACAAAACCCCTAAGTATAAACAGCAAAAAAAAGATAGATGTAATTATTCCAGTTTTTTTTTAAACTTAAAGAAAAAGATATCCATTGCCAAATTAATAGATAAGTGTTATATGGAAAGAAGGGCATTCAAGCACACTAAAGAAACCTGAGGTAAGCATAATCTGTACAAAATTAAACTGTCCTTTTTGGCATTTTAACAAATTTGCAACATTCTTTTTTTTTTCTTTTTCTGTTTTATGTTAAGACTGCCTAATTCAGTTTATAGCCATTGTCTGACAAGAGTAGCAAAACATTATCAATAAATAGTCCTTATTTAGTTTGTACATCATTTTGTTAAAAATGTTTGATGTCATCCATTTTTAGTGCTGCGACTGTAAACGTACAATAGAGTAAGAAATTAGACAAAGTTCTCATGTCCAGTAACAGAATAAAAGGCCTTTCATTAACCTATCTAGAAGTCCCCAATGCAGTAGGAAAACATGTTCATTCCCCTAACATTGCAGTATATACTAGCATTAGCTTTTTTTTTTAAATTTTTTCCCTATAAGCATTTTTAAAAGGCATACCCAAAAGAGGTGTTTAATCTCCACCCTCACCAAAATATAGTTTATTATCTCTCTCCCTCTTTTTTTTTTTTTTAATGATAGTGTAAACTGAATCCAATTCCTGGCCCCCAGAGCAAATAAGCTATCATCAGAGGCAAGAACATCCAACTGCAGACACGCAGCAATCCCATCACGCCCTGCAGCTCAAAAGAAAAAAAAAAAAAAGAAAAGAAGAGAAAAGAAAAGTGAACAGGAAGTGGTCACTGGATATTGCTGTTGTTACTGCCATTGCTGTCCGTGCCGTTAGTCTCTGAGGCGAGAGCCTTGTTGATGGAGTTAAGGTTGGCGTCGGAGGGCATGGCATCCCTGCGAGGCGGCATCCTCTCGTTAATTCGGTCTAAGCCCTTGGCCTCTTCGAAGCTAGTGATCTTATGTTGTGGTGAAAATCCTTTGATGGCTAAACAGAAAATCATTAAAAAAGAAAAAAATAGGGTTAGCCAGAGGAAGACAAAGGGCACGGCTGTTGCATCAGGTGATGTTAGAGATTCCGCAGTGAGAAGGAATCCTTTAGTGAAGAACAGTGACGGGACCTGAACACAACACAACAGACTCCTTACCATACTCGGAGATAACCAGAAGGGTTGAAAACAGCCAATGTCTCTTGCCAACCAAAATGTCCTCTTGAAGTTATCAAGACGTAAGCATTTCTCTCATCTTCGTGAAAGTTTAAGTCAAAGAAATCCAAAGTGGATGCACAGAGAGAGAAGTGGCTTCCAGGGACAGGGCTCTGGAAGCAGCAGGGACTGGTCACGTTGGTAGCATGACTGCTGCGTCATATGCCCCGACCTGGTCAGACCACTGCGTGTCCTCATTTTTTGCTCTTCCACTGGGCTAGCTAGGCCATATTCAGTAGAATCACTACATCTGTTGTATCTCAAAATCTTTTACAGGGCTTAGAGAAGCTAAAAGGAGCTAGGGAAGGAATGGAGTTGGGCAATTCCAAGCCATCTCAGAATCCCAGAAAGACCTCCCTCAGCAAGTAAGTCATTGGTGACATGGGAAGAACGAAGCCATAAACTCCTGCTTCCCCGCTCAAGGTGGGAGGCATGTGGAGTGGGAGAGAAACTCAGAAAAATCAGGATCAGATCACCAGGGGGAGAAGCATTGTTTGCCCTTCAGCAGTGAACAGGTCAAACTGATGTTCATGTGGTATCCATTATCGCCTAAATCAAAGAAAAACTCATTCTTAGAAGAGCAATGTGATGGTTAAACAACAAGACAAAAATGCCTTTCATATTTTTTAAGCAAAAATGAATTAGACTGGTTTTGGTCCCATTCCATTTTAAAACATGAAATTCTCCAGGTGGGAGCAGTATTTTCTTTTCTTTCTTTTAACCCTTGGTGTGCTACAGAGATAGGTAAGGCATTTGTACAAAATATTTAATGATTTCTTCAGCTGGGTGCACCAACCAGTGAGCTGACAATAAAACACACAACTTTGGAACCGATGACATCAGTTTGCTTTACTCCCTGTGAAGTGCAAGGCAGAGATAATCAAGGGCCAATCACCAATGCTGAACTGGGCTGCATCTCCAGGGCCGATTAAGACAATTTCGTGGTGACTTTTTTCTCCCCACCTTATCTTGGGAGTTGAGGGGTGGAGGAGTTTGGAGCTGAAATTTTGCCAGCCACTCCTACACGAATGTGCAGTGCCTTTTACTAGTATGGGTGAGATTCTTACAAGACACAATAGTTGTTTCAAAACTCATTAAATGGTGAGAGATGGTTTGTTTTCCCTCCGCATTTTAAAGGTTAGCATAATGGTGATTAGTCAACTGTGAAAGGAAAAAGATGGGGAAATGGGGAAAGACCAAGGCCCAAAGCAAAGCTTTTTAATTCTTCTCTAATTTAATAATAAATTGCAAAATAATAGAGCTGTCTAATGAGCACCCAACTTGAAAAGCATCTCAGTCATTTTAAGGGGCAAAACAATAGCAAGAAGAGGAACTCTATTCTTTTTCTAAACTGTGAATAACATTCCACCGTAATTAATAAATATACAAGGTTTGTCATCACTGTAATTTATGAAGTGATCTTATTCATTCAAATGGTAAAAGTGGAGGCTCTAGGTATTCAAAGCCAATAGGGTGGGGGTGTAGACATTAAAACTCTAGCTAGAATAATGGATATTTCTGGGCTGGGGCTCGTTTCTCATCATTTTTTGTCCATTCGCGTATGGAAGAATGTGCTCTGCTGTAGTTGCTGGTCAGACAATGGGTATTAGCAATTTACATTGGTAGTATACTTAACACAACACAGAGTCACAGAAACCACAGAAAACAGCCAAACTGTCAACAAGAATGCACACTGCAGATTAGAATTTGCCAAGAGGAATAGATAATTCCCACATAAATAGCAGCTTGCTCACTGCTATTTAGGAAGCAGTTGTATTTTCTCTTACAGTGCTGTCATTTCCCCTACCATATCCAAATCATGTATGGATTGGAAGAAAAGTGGCACTTTTTACACCATACCAAAGGCCCGTACACACACAATTTTGGGCAAAACAAAACATTATCTTGCAAGAACAAAATACAACTGAAGAATTTTGTTTTAAAGGGGAACTTCAAATCGTACTTTTTAAAATTTCCAGAGGATATGGTATATATACTATTACGAACTATTTTGATATGTAGTTCTCTCATAACCATGGATTGAGAAAGCACTCAGTTAAAAAGGAGTTCCAATGGGTTACCTCTTGTCCTGGAGCATGCTAGGGCACAGGTTGAGATGTGCACTTCTTAATTTCCCCTGCAGCTCCTAGTACAACAGTGCCTGGTACCAGGCACTCAGTAAACCTTAATCAACTGAGCGATTCCTTGGTACTCACGCTTCTTGTTATGGGCCACTTCCCAACTACTAGATACTTTCAAATGTCTTAAAAATATTTTGCTGGTGCTGTCTTACAAATACCAGTAGTTTAAAGTTGATAAGGCTAGCAGAGTTGTTTATCTCATACCCCACTGTCTCATGTTGGAATATCTTTTAGAGACATAAATCAATGTTGAACTACAACAAAGCACTATTCAAGCAAAGCTGCTGCTTCTTTTTTTCTACAAACTTCTGAAGACTTGAATTAAGGAAGCTATTTTTATTCTGTCCTTTTCAGTGCTGCCTGAAAGTGATTTGAGGGAGGGACATGGTTCAGCTCAGAGACTATTGTTTTAGGTGTTATTTGTCAGAACAGCTGCCATAACCCCCACCCCACATCATTCAAGATATACAATCCTTTGGTTTTCTGTGATTATACTAAGTTCATTATAAACGAGTCAAACATAGCTTTAAGGGAAAATAAAAAAAACAAACAAACAAACCATAGAAGGACATTTTCCCCTTTAAAGCAAGAACATTTGGGTTAATACTGAGCCACAACTGTTAGCCCAACACCCACACACTCTGTACAAGCTACAGCAAAAAAAAAAAAAAAAAAAAAAAAAAAATGAATACACCCAGCAGAGCCCTTATCTGTTGCAGGTACAACAGAAAGGGGACTGGCCAATTTACCTTCATCAGCCTCAATAGCCTCAACAGTAGCTGAAGAGAAGAAAGGGGGTGCAAAATGAATGAGAAAAAAATGAGCAGAGGATTTTTTTTAATTCTAAGAACAAATAAGTGACGATCAAAGGAGCTAAGAGGATTAATGTTCCTGTAAGTGCTGGATTCTGGCACAGACAACAAGACAGAAATGCTAAAAAGAAAGAAAAAAACACCACAAAAATAATAAGTTCTAATCATGAGCCAGACACACCTATCTGAGTGAACTGCTTCGGTTTCTGCTCACGAAGCAAATGACAAAAGGAGTAACCCTTAAGGAAAAACACTCACTCAGGGAAGTTGTCTTTTATTTGGATTGAATTAATAAGGGATTAGGTGAATCTAAAATGTTCCTGACTCACACAGAGGCCTGCAACATCTCTGCTGTGCTTGCTGATTTAGTTTCAAAATGTCAGAGCAAATCATTGGACTTTAAATGATGCCGTAATGTCAGTGGTAGAATTCACACTACTTAACATTGAATAACACTGTGGCCTAATGTGATGGAAACGCAGGGCCATGGAAACTTAAAGGAAGAAGAAAATCAGCGTGTCTGAGTTGATAATGCATGGGACTCTTAGAGACAAACACTGAGCTTTGTTCCGAGGGAGCAGGGAGGAGGGGAGAAGGAAACAGCTAGGGAGTGACCATCACTGAGACTTCTTTGGCCAGACAGCCCACGTGAAAATCAGGTTTCTTTTCTTCACCGGAATATCATTCTTGAAAATATAATTCTTGAAACATTACAAACCAAGTGGTGGCCTGTAAGTAGTGGTAATAATTCTAGCAGTGCTTTAAAGACTCGGCAACCTAAAAACTGAACGCAACCCCATATATTTACGCGTGAAATTTCATACAGGTATATGGAAACAGCACATTTCAGAGGCAAAACTTGAAAAGCCTACTGCTTTATCAGCTATTTGTATAATAAGGTCAGGGCCTGCACTTTCCTACACAGCTACATGAATCTTGCTTTGTCATTAAAGCTAGTTGTTACTTCACTAATGAGAAATCTTCTCCAAAATGTTTAATATCAAAATGCTACCACTTCACTTAAATTTAATTTTTCTTCTAATTTAAGGTTTTTAAAGTATAGCAACTGTCAAATGTGCACTATAACTTACAGTGCATTCAAGATCACTTTGATAAAAATGGAGAATGGTTACCACCTTTCTAAGCAGCAATAAGTAGCTCCCCCTTTGATACAAAAGTGAGGAATTTTTGAATTTCATTAAATATGTGGTTTAAACTATATACTAAGTTTTCAAATTCTCAGGGCAAATGAGATTCCAACTCATGTACTCTGTGTGTGTGTGTGTGTGTGTGTGTAAGTGAGAGAGAGAGAGAGAGAGAGATAGAGAGATTTCAACACAGAATACAATAAACCAATGGACTTAAAAGGAAAAAAAGTCTAAGTAAACATAAGTGAATGTCTGGAAATGAAACGAAGAGCTGTAAGAACTTAAATTTAAAAGCAACAAATCTGGAACCACAAAAGCACTGCCAAATTAGAAAATGTACTGCCCACAAATAGTGGTGTCCTTTGGGAGCAAATGAGGCCCACACTTTCTGATAACACACTTGCTGCGCCTTAAAATATCTTATCAGAAACTGCAGATTTCAGTCAATAAGAGAGAGGTGCATTTTGTGCATATGGGTGATTCGTTTATGTTAATGCTTTAGTGAGTTTGTCTACTTTGGTGGGAAAACTTTTGTGTTTTTATAAAGTCATTAAAATAATTGCTAACTGTAAGCTTTACTTTAAGACTACATTATTTCCCTACCTTCATTTAAAAATTCCTAACATTTTGTGGAAACTCCAAGTCATTGACTTTGGAATAAATTCATCTGAAAATAAATCAATTGTGCTGTTAGCATGTGTTCATCCAGCAACATCATGTCTTTGAAGCTACCATCATCTTGATGAAAACAAAGTGTGTCCACATAATAGAATCATAAGAATACCTGAATCTTCTGAACTGAAGGAAAGGGATACAAAAGAAAATACAAGAAAGATTCAGGGAGAGATACAGGAAAATAAGCTAGAGGCTGACATCTGTTTTGAAAATGTTACAGTGTACTTTTTGTTTTTATTTTTTTCTGTTAAAATACAATAGCAAAATTTCTATAAAGTATTGCTAAAATTATACTCTGAAGATGATATTAGTTAAAATGGATAAGAAAACAAAAACATGAATGAGTATATAGAACTGTGCTGTCTGACAAAGCAGCCACTAGACAGATGTGGCTATCTAAATTAATGGAAATTAGATAAAATTAAAAATTTTGTTTCCCATGTTATTAGCTATATTTCCAATGCTCAACAGTCATCTGCAATAGTTTCTGTAAAGATACAGAAACTTCTATTACCACACAGTGTTCTGTTGAAGAGCACTGGTTTTAAAGTCATACATTCTGCTACAAAATCTCTATCTTCATGGAAATGTTGTATATTATTGTTTTTCAAACTTAAAATGTAGCTCTACTCAAGCCTCTTCTCATGTTTTGGACTGACAAATCAGGGAAATGATACCCATGGACTCCAATTTCTATTCTGGTGGCTAATAAGATCATCTTTTTCATATTTTTCTTCATTCGCTGCTAAAATGGACACATGGGTGTAAACTAGTCTCTCTGTATGTTTATTCCATCCACCAATCAAATGGATTGTCTGAACATTTGTTAAAAATGTAATTAGAAATTTTTAGCAACTGATTGGCTCAAAGAAGTCAAATCTATCCTGCACAGAGGCCACCTGAGGCAGCTGTCAGATGGACAGGCCGGCATATGTGGGGGGATACACGAACTGAAGGGAGTGAGGGAGCTGTTAGGTCGAGCATGACTGATCACACGGATGTGGGTTTCAGCCCTTCTTCCAGCCAAGAAGAACTGAAGACCAAGGTGGAACTTCAAGGGATGACTAAGTCAGGGCTATGATGAGAGGGCTGCCTGAGGGGGTTCTGGGCACACAGTCACAGCACTGGGCCTACTTACCGCTTTGCAGGGTCTGCTTCCCTCCAGAGAGCACTCCACTGGGGAGCATGCCGGTGGGCGTCAGGCCTTTCAGTGTCAGCACACTCTCACTCTCTTCTCTGCAAAGCACAATGGCAGGTGGTGAGGGGAGGGTGGCTAACTTCAATTTTGTGACAAGGAAATGACTCAACGAAAAAAGGCATAGAAGAGCCCATATTTCCCTCGATAGTGGCTCTTAGAATTGCTCTTTGCTTATATGCCATATTTGTAGACATTCTTATAGAAGTAATGCTACATAAACAATGGCTTGGAAAAAGTTTACATTATACAACTGTGGAGCTACAGTCTCTTCTGATTATGGACGATATGGAAAACTTTTTTGATTTTGGAATCAAACATCACGACACAAAGTGTCTGGCACATGTCCTCCAGGACACCAATTGATAGGTAGAGAGAGAGCCACGCAGAGTGTAGCTCTCAGCTTTTCAGCTAGGGCTCAGCAAAAATAAGTGGAGCTAACTTGACCTGGGAGGGGACACTGGAGAGCATATGGGAAACAACAAAAAAAGCAAAAGCAAAAGATGGCTGGGTTACGGAACCAGGGATTATATTCGGGGGATTGTGAAGGAGTTATGATGTTGGGTTATAAATGCACAAAATAACGGCAATGTGCCCATAAAGCCACTTGCAAAATATCCCAGCTTTTCTTTTCCAGCCACTTCTCCCACTGATTTGTGAAGATAAAATTATTGTTACTATTATAATTGTTTTATAATCATAAGTACCTCATCCTTTCATTAATCATCTAATGCTATTAATCATTTCAATTTACTAGCAAATCCTCGTGACTGCATAATCACGAAATAGGAATATTCTATCTTTCTACATAGCAGATACTGCAATTCTATGTAACAAGAAAAATGTTTGCAATACATACATAAATAATGTTAAATTTAATTTGTTCAACCACCCACAATTTTTATGAAGAAATCTAATGTGACCAAAACAAGATTTCAAAATTCTTCTTCAAAACCTGTGCTTTTACAACTTGTCTTCCAACTCAGAAATCAGAAATTCCAATTTTCAATTTCTTAAGCTGATGAAAGGGTCACTCTGTATCTCTTTTTATCCTCTCTTATTAGCAATCCTGAGAGTTCTACCCTTCGAGATATTTCCATTTCCCACAAACCCACTACCTCATCTCTTTGGCAAACAGGCCTACTGAGAAATAATTAACATAGTATATACCTCCCACTACCTACAGTGCATCATTCAGTCCGTGGCTCCTAGTATATTTGCAGAGCTGTGCAATCATCACCACAAGGGAGTTTAGATCATTTCAACATCCCCAAAGAAGGCCTGCACTACAAGCAGTCATGCCCCATTTCCTTCAGTCCTACAGAACCTCTGATTTACTTTGTTTCTTCTGCACATTTCCTACCATGGAATCATATAACGTATCTTCCACGACCGCCTTCTTTTGCTCACCAACAGCATCTCCTCTCTGGACTACAGCAGTCTCCTAAACGGGCTGTCTGCTACATCCTTGTTCCCTTTTCCCACAGCTGTTCTCAGCAGAGTAGCCAGATTGAGCCTTGCAATATCAATGCTGGATCCTGCCATTCCTAACTCTCTGATGGCTTCTTCTCTCATTGTATGGTGAAAAGTAAAGTCTTTAGCAGGTTCCACAAGGGCCTTAAAAACTAGCCACCAACTCAGACTTTCCCATTCTGACCCATCTCTGAGTACATTCCTTCCCAGGGTTCACTTAGGTCTCTCAGGCACACTCAGCACACCCAACCCTCACTTGCTTTGTCTTCCTCTTCCCACAGGGACCCAGGTAGCTTATTCCTTCTCTGCCCTCACATCAGTGCTCCTACATCAGCCTCTATCTAAACACTACCTATTTCCCCTGGCCTATTTTATTTTTAATCCAACATATTATCAACCCCCAAAACCTCATTTGTGATCTCCACTGCCCACCACATCCCACCCTGGCCGGACAAGCTTTATGAGAGCAGGGGTTTCTGTTGGCTTAGATCACTGCTGTACCTTCAGTACCTAGACTGCAAAGTACCTGCTACATGGTCCACATTCGGAAAATATTTACCGAAAGGAGGAGTAAAGAAAAACTGAATGGAGAATGGCACTGTCAATTTATATTTTAGATTTCTGCATCCTTTCCTGCAAGAGTTTATATAAAAATACTAGGTTTGAAATGGTCAATCATTTAACTTACACACAGGTACTTCAACTGGTTCAGGCTGCTTCTGCCAAACCATTAAAGGTAAGAGAATAGCACACCTATCTTGAATACTAATATGCAGATTTGGACAAATTGGGAGTAACTCTAAAGAAATGGACACATTTTCTTTCACATTCATATTCAATCTAATTATTATCTTTCTATGTAAAGCAATTTTCTGGAAACCTGGAGTATTTTTTTAATCTTCAAAACTGTGCTTTTTGTAGTCTCAGTGTAACTTTATTTCAAAAATTACACCTTTGTGGTCAGACTCATCTTGGCTGAAATCTTAGCCATGCGATTGAGTCACTGTTTTACTTTTCCAGGCTTCGGTTTCCTCATCTACAAAATCACATTTATAATGACAGGGTTTCCTTCAGGACTAGGTTACACACTGGAAGCAAAAGCCCGGGTGGAGATGATCACTTTTTCTTCCTTCCTTTCCCTGTTCATTCAACATCTGCCTACCTTTCCCCAGTCTTGTCTGCCTTATTCTTTCTTTGGCCTGCATTTTTTTTTTTTTTTTGACAGGCAGAGTGGACAGTGAGAGAGACAGACAGAGAGAAAGGTCTTCCTTTGCCGTTGGTTCACCCTCCAATGGCCGCCGCGGCAAGCGTGCTGCGGCCGGCGCACCGTGCTGATCCGATGGTAGGAGCCAGGTACTTCTCCTGGTCTCCCATGGGGTGCAGGGCCCAAAGACTTGGGCCATCCTCCACTGCACTCCCTGGCCACAGCAGAGAGCTGGCCTGGAAGAGGCGCAACCGGGACAGAATCTGGCGCCCTGACCGGGACTAGAACAGGGTGTGCAGGTGCCGCAAGGCGGCCGGCCTATGCCTGCATTTTTAACCTCCCCCTCTCTGAAGCCTCAGGGCAGACTCTCCAACTGCCTCTCCCCCAGTTGGTCCAATTTAACTCATTGCAGTCCTCCCAATAAATACTTATATAAATAAATCTTTAAGTGGAGAAATACCTCCTCTTCCTTAGATAACAGCATCCTACCAATCAGGCAGGCTGGTTCTTTTGTAGAACATGCTTGGAAAACTCCCTCTCTCTAATTAGTCAAACCATATTCTTTGTCTCCGAGTGTTTAATATGCTCCCAGCCTCCCACAGAAGTCATGTCCTCAAAGGTTTCTGGTGGCTTCTTAGTTTCTCAATTCCAGTGATCTCTGCTGAGTTCTTATTCAAACAGATTCCTTCAGTATTTCCCACTGACGGCCACACCTTCCCTTTCAGATTTTGTAACTCCTAGTTCTCCTCTAATACCGTCTCTCATTCTTTGGCTGATCTTTTCCTCCAAGTCCACACTGTGCTTTCAATATGGTAGCCCCAGCTGCCCATGGCTCTGCCCACTTGTAACATTGGTAGTCTGAGTTGAGATGTGCAACTCACTACAAAATGCACACCAGATCTCAAATATTTAATATACGGAAAATATCTCTTTAATAAGCATTGTATTATTAACATGTTGAAGTGATAAAATTTTAAATGTGGATGACAATTAGAGTATATTATTAAAATTAATTTCTTTCTTCCTACTCCTCTTACTGTTTCTAGAGATTTTCAAATGACAGACCTGGCCTGTGTTACTTTTCCCTTGGAAAGCATGGTTCTAGAGGATTCTTTTGCCCTTTTCACATTTTCCTTTTTCAAGGCCATCTGCTTACGTTTCTTAGGTCTTGTCTGTGTTGTTCATTCCTCTGCCTCCCTTTCTAACCCTCCCCCATCATGAAGTTCCAGGGCAGAGTCTCCAACTGCCTGTCCCACATGTACAGTCTGTCAAATTCAACTCATTGGAGTCCTCCAATAAATACTTAATTGATTTTTAAATGGAGAAATACCTCCTTTTCCTTAGACGGCAGCATCCTATCAATCACACAGGTTGACTCCACTGTACAATGTGCTTGGAAAATTTCCTCTCCCTTATCATCTCTTGCGTAGGTAAGAGGTCACTTAGAGGGAGCTCACAGATTCAGAGAACTGGACTGGAATGTTCTGCAGGCAGGAGGAGTACCAGCATCCATCTACCGTGAGAGGTTGGCTCCACGAACCACTGCCACTAATGTTAAGAGGCAATACCTAAGTTGACACTATCCTGCAGTTCTACACGTTCTTCCTGTTTGTGCTAGGTCATTCTGCTAGCCAACCTTAACACTGTTTTTAGTGTACACCCCAACATGGGTTAGGACATGCCTCTCATCCTGTGAGAATGATTTCTTGCTGATCCAAGAAAATTACACTTTATCATGAATGGGAAAGCCCCTAACAGAATGGACATAAATAAATTTCCCATCTCATTTCTTAATCGATTCCTCACTCACTCTCTTGTCTTAACTGCTCATCGCTTTCAAAGACTTAGAATTCATGACTAGACTACTGTTACTTGAGCATTCATATATAGACTATGTAGTTTTCTTTTAAGACTCCTCAGTGCTGCTCCCCAACTGAGTGAATTGAGACATAATGCCTAGCCCTTCTCACATTTAATATCTTTTCTGTAAAGTGAGGATACCCCAGTCTTGCAAGTTACCTGTGTGGGTTATTGTTAAATGTATAGAACATGGGCCATAGTACCTGGCATTTCGCAAGCATCTCACAAAAGAATGCCAATGACATTGCTCTTGAGACTGTGTGACTGTTCTTGATGACTTCTCTACCTACAGGAATGTCTTCACCACAATTCTCTACCTACTGGAATTGGGCCTACCTTCTATGGCATATCCTCAGTATCAACCTCTTCATAAACTTTCCATTCAAGAAATATGTGAGGGCTCTTTTCTATCTAATGCCACCACAGAGCAGTTGTTCACATATTTAGTGTACATTTCATTGTCTTTTATTTGTCTACTGTCTATACACCTGTCATTCCAATTCTGTGTCTGAACTGCCTAACTCAGTTCGTAGCACACATTTAATGCTCAGTCATTACTCACTAAGCTGAACTTCTCTCTGGATATGATTCCTGTGTATTCTGCACGCCAGGGTACTTTAAAGAGGTCATGAAAAAATGAACAACTTTTCCCATGAAGCTTTTGAAGATCCCTCATATTTACTACAGTATCATTTATTATAGGAACCTAATAACTTTCTACCAATGTGTGCAGTCTTAATTCACTGATTACCACTGGGTTTATACAGTCCATTTTTCTTCTGAAAATAATTATATCTCAACTGGTAGAGAATGGACCTCCTAATTTTAAGGCCTACATACAATTCTATAGCTGGTTAGTTCTTAAGGCACTGGTTACTGTGCTCATGTCCCATATTAGGGTGCCTGGGTTTGATGCCTACTTCTGGGTCCTGACTTCGTTTTCCCACTAATGTAGATCCTGGGGGCCAGAAGTGATAGCTTGAGTTGTTGGGTTTCTGTTACCCACATGGGAGACCTCGATTGAGTCCTAAGATTCCAGCTTTTACCTTGGCCCAGCCTTATCCATTGTGGGCATTTGGGAACCTGACTGCTTCTTCAACAAATAAATAGTTTTAAAAAGTTCTTTTTTCCCACAAAAGAACTTCCACATGGAAATTCTGGATTGTTTTTATTTCTTTAGGTAGACGTTTCAATAGTAAGGTAAAATAAGAGCATTTCTTGATAAAATAAGGCACAATGCATAAATGTTTATGTGGAGTACCAGTTGAGCTTAGCATCTTCATATAGTCCTTCACCCTCACATGACATTCACCCAACCAGCTGAACTCCTTGCTGATCCTCAAAACTGTTGCTTTTTTTTAAACTTGAGAGTCTTTATACTCACTATTGCCTTCGCCTGAACTCTTACCCTGTCTCTTCATGAAGGTCACCCACACTTGCTTGAATGGTCTTGGCTGATCATATATTAAAATAAGTGCCATATCTCTCACCTGCTATCTCATATTTTACTTTGGTTTTTCTTCCTAGTACATAACCAGTGCTTTAAGTTTTACTCTGTTTATGCATTGCATGAATAAAGTGTCTTCAAAGTTTAGTTAGAGCTGTGGACCTTTAGGGCAGAGGCAGCCTCATTCACTAAGCTGTAGGAAGCACTGGTGCTCTATTTTTAGCTTCACCATGACTCTCTGTTGTGCTGGCCACCACAGAGTTATGCCTGACTTCAACTTGGTGTCTTTGAGGAGGGATGATAATGCTTTTTCATCCTTCTCACGGCTCCCTGATTTTCACATCAAGTCATTTAGCTACTCTTCAGAGATTCTACCAGGTATAGGATAAAAACACCAAGACAAATCAAAACAGTCAATGCTGCTCTTGTATGAGAAAAACTGAGGCAAAAAAAAATCTGGCAAAAATCAGATCATGAAATTATAAAATATGCAGCCACATTCCCATTTATCCTCACAGGTGTTTCACTGGGAGTTGACTACACACTCCTTACCCATAAACAAGCCAAGTTTGAAACTAATCTTCTGAAGACAAACATAGTTACTGTGTATTATCTAGGAAGAGATAATTGAATTTAAGTAAAATATAGTGAATTGCCTTTAGGAAAATACCTGTTTTCTAAATCCATGCTTAATAGTATGATTTGTGATCTATTTCAAAAATACACTACTTTTTGGGAACTAAAACATTAAGTAACATTTTTTCAGTGATGTATTAGAATAATATGGACACACATGAATGGCTTTATGGCTGATGCTTATTTCCCTGAAATCTAGTGAAATGCACCTGATAAATTCATCTTTTACCACCCAGTCAGAATGAAATACAAAAGAGATTATAGTAGCTTTTCATGTTTCATAAATTGTTCAACTTATTGTGAAATAAATGCTGTAAAATCTGGCAGCAAATAGAGGGATAAAATGCAATGTAATCCATTTATAGAAGCTTTCTTTAGAGAAGTCATTTAGTAGATAGCATTTTAACTCAAACAGTGAGGAACAGACAATTCAGCTGCAAAGGAAAAAAAAGAAGAGCATATATTTTCAATCAAAATATTTAAATAATCAAACTAGTAGATTCAAATATTTACCACATGATACAGAACAACATTGAGAACAGAAAGAGAGGAGACAGGTCCCACCTGAGGACGGAGAACACTCGGGCCATTTTGCCTATGGCGCGGATCTTGTTCCTTATTACCTCCTTGCGGGCTGCAGCTGTGGCTCCTGCATTTCAAAAACAGAGTTTAATAGTCAGTGACTTTTTATCTAACTGTAACTCCTTTACAGATTTGTATATATAACCAACTACAGTAAACAAAATCAGTTTGCATTTTTTCCTTTAAGAGGATCTGTCAATAAACAAGTGTGGAAATTTATGCTGTGGGCTTCAATATTGCATGTGATTCTTGAGCGGTTTTTGTGATTTTCATGGGCAGGTGTTTGGGAGCTCGGGAGCTAACTGAAAAATCACTATCAGATGGGCGTGGGTACCCACCCTTGCGCCCACCCTTCTCTAAGTGAGTTTCCCTTCTATTGCATTAGGTGAGGACGGCATGAATTGGCAGAAAGAGGTGAGCAAATCATCAGCATCTTCTACTCATCCCCATCTCCATGAGGCAGAGACTGGTTTTTAACATTTTCCCTCGAAGAGAGGAAAGCAGGAAGCCTCTTAATGCCTTCTGTTCCTGGGGACAACATTTGCATTATTTATGGTCATAAAACATTTGTTATTGCACTTCAAACTCTTTCATCTTCCGCTTGCTTCATGAGTTACAGAGGAAAAAGTGGAAAACTGACATATTTCTCTTCCTTTTTTCTTAAAAACTGCATATTTTAGTAGGAAATAAATTCAATAAGGAATGATAAGGTGTGTGGCCGGCGCTGTGGCATAGCAAGTAAAGCTGCCGCCTGCAGTGCCAGCATCCCATATGGGCACCAGTTGGAATCCTGGCTGCTCCACTTCCGATCCAGCTCTCTGCTATGGCCTGGGAAAGCAGCAGAAGATGGCCCAAGTCCTGCCCCCATGTGGGAGACCTGGAAGAAGCTCCTGGCTCCTGGATTCGGATCGCCCAGCTCCAGCCGTTGCAGCCATTTGGGGAGTGAACCAGCAAATGGAAGACCTCTCTCTCTGTCTCTTTCTGCCTCTGCCTCTCTGTAACTCTGCCTTTCAAATAAATAAATAAGTCTTAAAAAAATGAAAGAATGATAAGGTGGGAGTTTATCTTATTAGCTACAATGCCTGCATCCCATGTTGGAGTTCCTGGGTTCGATACACTACTTTAGCTCCTGACTCCATCTTCCTGCTAATGCAGACCCTGGGATGGCTTAAGTGACTGGGTTCCTGCCATCTACATGAGACCTGGATTGAACTTCTGACTCTTGGTTTCCACTCAATTCAGTTCCACACATTGTGGGCATTTGGGGAATGAAGCAGTTGAGTGAATGCTCCCTTTGACTCTCTCAAAAACAAACACCTTCAGAATCAAAGCATTTACGCTTTGAAAGCTTTTTATTTTTCAGTAGATCCAAAATTTTATCAACTAAGTTCAAAAGTTAATGCCAATGTTACTCATAAACATCACTCATCTGTTATTTCATCCATTTACTTTCCTTGTCAAAAAGGATCTCTGTAAAATATCTAAAGTGTGTACATAGAACATAGCTGAGATCAGGCTAGACTCTGGCATGATTTCTTTTAAAAAAGATTTATTTATTTGAAAATCAGAGTTATAGACAGACAGACACACACACACACACACACACACACACACACACACACAGTGGGAGGGGGGAGTGGGAGTGGGAGTGGGAGTTGGGGAGAGAGAGAGAGAGAGAGAGAGAGAGAGAGAGAGAGAAAATCTCCCATCCACTAGTTCACTGCCCAGTTAGCCACAACAACCAGGAGCCAGAAGTTTCATCCGGGTCTCCCACAGAGGTGGCAGGGGCCCAAAAACTTGGTCATTTTCTGCTGCTTTTCCCTGGTCATTAGCAGGGATCTGGATTGGAAATGGAGCAGCCAGGACACAAAATGGTACTCACGTAGGATTGTGGCATTGCAGGTGGCGGTTTTACCTGCTAAGCCACAATGCTGGTCCCTGGTTTGATTTTTAACAACTATTACCTCAAGTGTTTGAGTGTTGCAAATATTGAACCAGCCAAAGTAAAAGCCAAAATGGTACAGCATATACTATAAACAAATCGAGATAACTGATGTGTTACTGAAAGACAAAGCAGTGGCACATTAAACCAAAGTTATCTAAACAGATGTGGAAAGAGATATTTTAGTACTCATGGGAAACAGTTAAGCATGGGTTTGTCTAGTTACATTTTGCCACTTAATACATTTTCTAAATTCAAGACTACTTTATGGTAGATAAACTCTTTTTTTAAACATTTTTAATTTATTTTGATTTTATTTGAAAGGCAGAAATACTGGAGAGGGGAGAGAAAGTGTATGTGTGTGTGTATGTGTATGAGAGAGAGAGTCAAACTGACAAGAGAAAGATCTTCCATCTTCTAGTTTACTCTCCAAATGTCTTCAACAACCAGGGATGGGCCAGGCCATAGCTGGAAGCCTGAACTCCATCAGGGTCTCCCATGGGGTGGCAGGGGCTCAACCATGGCACACAATAGCAGGAAATGGATTAGTTGAGGAAGAACCTGGAGTCAAACCAGGCACTCCAATATGTCACGTCAAGTGGTGACTTAACCACTGCAATCAAACCCTTTCCCCCAAACAGTTCCTTTGTATCATGTTTTAAAAATAATATTATATGGTATTTAATGAATTCACTTTATTTTCCCCTTCCAGAGGTATATTTGGACATGTATAAGCAGAAAAATACTGTAAAAAAGATAATTTGTTTTCTACATGATACGGGATTTTATAGAAGGTGTTAACACCATGAGATTATGTTTTCATTCTACTACACCTCTAATACACATAAAACAAAATATTCTCTTCAGATAACTTCCAAAATGTTCCTAATCTGAACAGTTTAAATGCTGCTTAAACCCACTGTAAATCACATAATTTGGTCAGAGACCGTGGTCTACATGCAATAATTGGTATATGTGTAGGTCTTTTAATCTGTGATATGAACAAGCTTCTTGACTTTTAATAAAGGGAAGATTTCTGGTGTTTCCAGAGGGCTTTCACAAATGCAATTTGGAAGCATTTTTCACTGCTTGATAAGCATCAAGAAATAATCACCCTAACACTTCTACAGAAAAAACAAAAAACTTGCACCAATACATATGCAAATTTGAAATGGGTGTAAGGAAGACAGATGCTTTGCTCTTGACTCCAAGAAGTGAAAACATAATGGACCACTTCCTAGCCTGGAAGGGTTAATTTTCCGAGGTGTTGCAATGCACACTCATCTCACAAGGGCACAAGTGGTCTACAGAAGGTGTGCACAAGTTTGAAGCTGGCTTCCACTTGTCTCCCCCTGATCTGAAAGCAGTCCACATTTGTGTTCATTTCTTCCTGTTTGTGGCAATCACACCATGGAGGGTACCTCCCAATGTATCCAATGGGCACAACTTACTAATGCCATCTAGTCTGCACATATGGGTGGAATAAGTTTAAATCCACGTGAGAGAAGGCCATTCCCCAATGCAGTTATTCCGATAATCAAGCAGAACCATGGATTCACATTCCCCATGAGTTCCTTTAATTATTTCTCAGCTAGAACAATGAACTGTGTGTGTGTTGGATCACTGTGTCAAAACTTTTTCTGTGTTTCTAACAACATTTGTTAATAGATTTGTAATTAAGATTATTATACAACAAATTCTTCCCTGGAGACTATCTAAAAGTCTAAATTCTCTGTGCTTAAATTTTATTTGTTTGAGACAGAGAGGGCTCTTATCTGCAGGTTCATTCCCTAAGAGCCTGCAATGGTCTCGGTGCTTAGATTATAAAGGACTATCTTGATCAGGAGACGACTAAACTACTAGTGGATATTTAAGTTTTTTTTTTAAAGGATATATTTATTTCTTTCTTTGAAAGAAAGAGTTATAGACAGAGAGGGAGGGAGGGAGTGGGGGAGGGGGAGAGAGAGACAGAGAGAGAGAGAGAGAGACAGAGATCTTTCATCGGCTGTTCACTCTCCAGATAGCTACAATGGCTGGGGCTAGACCAGGCTGAAACCAGAAGCCAGGAGCTTCATCCTAGTCTCCAACATGGGGAGTAGACCCTCTCCCACATGGTCTCCCACATGGTCAATGGGCCATCTTCCACTGCTTTTCCCAGGCCATAAGCAGGGAGCTGTAACAGAAATGGAGCAGGCAGGACGTGAATTGGTGCCCACATGGGATGATGGTGTTGCAGATGATATGCTACGGCAATGGCCCCTTGGTAGCTTTTTTTGTTTATTTGCTTTTTAAAGCTAATGGCAAATGAATATTCTCCTTATCATGGTCTTTCTCTCTTTCTCACATGCACACACACACACATGTATGTTACTGAATATATATATATATATATATTAATTATTCACATCAACGCTGCTTTCAGCCTAACATTCTTCTATTACTAATCCAGATGCCATGATATACTAACTTATGGGAGAGATTCTGGGCCTTGCTAATAAACAATATGGCCAGATCATGAAATCTATCTGCCATAAACAATAAGTTTGGAAGAGCTCCAAAAGTGGTGACCATACTTCAAAGCAAAGTAGGAAGGAGTGGTCAAAATGTCTAAGAATAAACTTGTACACATTTAAGAGAAATGAGAAGGGAAAACCACAACATCAAATAAGGAAAACATATATAAATACCTATTTTCCATAGAAAATTTCCCATAGAGGACTCATAAAATATGTCAGAGCAATGAAAAGTAAATACTATATTGGAAGAGGAGGAAAGTCTATTACTATATTATGTAGAATTGTGCTTCTCAGCTTAGTGCAAGTTATTGCTCAAAGAAAGTGTTGAATGTTAAATGTAAAATAAACATTATGACAGTCAGAGCCAAGATATCATTTCTTATATTTTTATGTTAATTAAATTATTGGAGGGCAATAAATGGTCAATCAAGGCATATTCCAGCACTTAGTGAGCCAAATTCCCCTTTAAAACATTTGATAACACGGATAAGAAGTTTTATTACTGTTTTAATACAATTAGAATATATTTCCTCAAAAAGCCAAATAATCTGACCACAGACACAAAGAAAGGATATGAAACCTATTCTACTGATGTTTCATCTTAGGGAT